GCGTGCGGTTGACACCTGCTCCATTCGACGCGCTACGATCGCATTCACGTAAACCCAGCCGTTAAACAATCTCACCGGCCGTTCGGCGCATGCGTGACGCCGCCATAACTTTAGTTCCCGAGTGTACACTACAGTACAGTAGGCGGAATTCCATGAAATGGCTCCTGCCGTCTCGTGCTCCGTACGCACAAAGCTCCCGCGTGGTTGTGGCGCGTGCAGAAAGACCACCGAGGCTTTGTAGCCGCGGTGGCGTAACTAAAATATAAACGTTTTCTACTGTTATTGTTACTGTAGGCCTTGACTTGCTGACGCATTACTAAAAAAGACGATTGTCCAAAAATAAGTGCTATGGTCAGATTTAAAAACGGGCCAGACGCTTTGCCTCTGGCACGCGCTTGTTTCCTTCCGTCGCCCTTTGGCTGGCCCTGCTCGCGAGATCTTAACCTGTAACTGAAAGTAAAAGCTCGCTCTGAGGCAAAGTTTCTGACGCATTCATAATATTATAATTCTTTTTTTCTTCTTAAGGTTCGTGTATATTACTCTCCCCCTGCCCTAATCTTTGCCCTGGAGCATGTAAAAAAACGTTGCACGGTAGAAGTTACTTTCTTTTTTTTTCTGCATTTCTTGTAATCGCGTGCTAAAACCAGACTTGTACACGTTACTGAAAGATAGTAAGGAATTACAGTTACAATTACTCAAGGCTAAATTGTAATTTCTTACAATTACAATTACCCTCTCATAAAAGTGACCGTTACCCGCAAAAGTAATCCGTTACTTTCGTGACGTTACTTTCAACAATATTTTCATCAATTAAGAAACAAAGGGAAAAAGGTTATTGAAGTTCTTATTGTTGCCACGGGTTCCATTCATTGAGCTTCAGTATTTTGAGTAGCAGCTGACTCTCGAAAGTCTCGCAGACATATTGCGTTATTTCTTACTGAAGATGTCGACTGCTACGCTGATCACCCTTTGAACTGAGGCACTGGATGGGATGGGCGGCGGAGAAAAGCTCGCCGGAGAAAAGCTCACCGAAGTAAAGCTCATCAGAGAAAAGATCACCGGAGAAAAGCTCACCGCAAAACCGGCAGATGCGGAGAAAAGCTTCATCGTTGTAGCCATTGCCTGATATTTGAGTTTTAGTAGAGTTGGTAACATTAAGGTGATAATAAAATAATAAATAAGGCTATGCTCGATATTCATCTTTCTTTGGCCCTGAACAGGTCGAGACTCGGTTGAGACGTTGGTGAAAAAGAGTTTCCAATATATAAATCTAAGTGATCGAGAAAAAACAAACAAACACCAGAACACTTATAACACCAATTAATTAGTGCGTTGGTTAAAACAAGGAAATGTAAATGCACGTTTTCTGAGTGTACTTTTCTTGGTGCCGTTCAAAAACGCACGGACCACGGACCGACTGCAGTTTACTCCGGTGTTCTCCAGATCGACGTCCGCTGATGCCACGGGCAGTGAGGGGTAGAGTACTAAGTAAGCCACACCATGGCCCCACTTACGAGTTTCACTCTCCCCTCAAGCCCAGAATATCAAGTCTACGTCAGCCACTATTATGTTTCATTTGTGAAAATATCTGCTTGAGGTAAGATGAGGGAGAAGAAAAAAGGAAGACTCCTAGTATTTTCGAAGTGCTCGAAAAAAGCTGACTCACAAAAAGGGTGACTGAGATGTAGATAACCTGGCTAGAATTCACAAATAAAGTGGGCCAACCCTAGAAGTTGGACTACAAAAAAGTAAGTAGCTTTTAAAACAGGGTCGAAAAAGGTGAAAGCAGCAGAAAAAAAAATCCTGTTTTCGAAGAAAAGATGACAAGTGTCCAGCAACGAACGAGGATGCTTGTGGCAATAACACCTTCACATATTATCACATCTCTTTTAGTGGATTTAAGGGTAGACGGATCGTTGTCTCGTGTTGTGACATTAGGAAAATAGTCGTTCCATTTAGCGCTCTCTGGGCGGCACCATTTTGTTCGACAGCAGCGCCCTTTCCATACATCCGGGAAATTCAGCGGGTTCGGCGGGGTAAAACGAGAGAGAGGGCACGCTCCCGACTCCGCTAGCGGACGACAAACCGGGAGGTTGCTATTCTCCGTCTTTGGGCTGTACCGCCGGGCTGTACGGATCATCGAACTCTCGCTCGTGGCTGCTATTGTGAAGTGGTTCGCGTTCTTCGAATAGTTATGGCTACTCCAAAATCAGCGTAGAACTCTTTGTTGTTCTATTTCGGTAAATAATCAACTAGAATGTCTTTTTTCGGTTCCTTATATTATAATGCTCTATTTCCATCCTTTATGATGGTGGGGCCCAAGAAAAAAGCTGCAGTAAGCAGCTTGACGAGTCCCTGGGCCCCTACAATGGACAGCAGGAAACGTGCGGGAAAACAAACAAAAAGCAACATAATAGCGTGCTAGAGGCAATGATGTTAGAAATCAGTACACAAAACTAAAAGCACCTTTTGCAATTGCAAATAGCAGTTGAGTTAGCCGGCAGTACTGCACTCAACTACTGCGTGTATTGCGGCAGGGGAGTACGTTTTTATTTATCATTTCAGACTTCCACTCATGGTCGCTAAAGGCCTACACCAGTACGAACTTTGTATAGTAAGAAAGGTACAGCGACCGGATTTACTTTTCGCCAGAGAGACTGGCCACTCTGACACAGTTTTCCCTATTTATTTTTTTTTATTTGCACGCAGGTAATAGCGCAACTGGACCATGTTAGTCGTTTTACCTAGCATAGTATTACACGATAACTGACGTACCAAAATCTGCGCATCGGCGCTTGAAATTTCCAAAATGACGCGATTTGAAACAGTTTGTACGCCAGCCGGATGCCAGGTACAGCCCCCTCGGCGGAACAGACGAGATGCGGGTGAGAGGGGGAGGGCTTATTTTCTCTTTTTACCCTCTCTGCTAAGAACCTAATGAAACGGTCTATAACCGAGAAGGACATTGTTAAATCTTGTCTGTGCACTTACCGCCTCGAGCTTTTCGAAGAGGCACACAATCACTTGGTGCCCTCCTTTTTTTCGATCGCAAAAAAACAGCAAAGGGACTAAAAAAAAAACAAAAAACAAAAAAACAAAAAACGGATATAACTTGCTCTCTCTCCCTTTTTTTTCAACTTTTTTTTGTAGAAATGCTTATTTGTATTTTTTGACATTGTTGTTAGGGCCTAAAAAATAGATTCAGGGGCTTGGTGGGGAACCGAAGACTGCAAATACTCCCTTTGCGCTGGTCAATTCGCGTGACAGTGTCGCTGCGCTCGACTTTACCAAAATAGAAACAACCCTTTCTTTAAAGTGTGTGTGGGGGGGGGGGGGGGGGGGGGGGAGGTTGGTCCTGAGAACAAATTGTAACAAATTACAAGGAATCCGTTCCGTAAAAAATCTAAAGGAATTACTTTAAAATTACTCTAGAAAATATGTAATTATTCCGTTACTAAATTACCGATAAATGTAAGGGATTACTAGTAATTTCGTTACTTGTAACGGATTACGTACAAGTCTGGCTAAAATCATAAAACGAATATTAAAAAAAAAACACCTCATAAGGCTTCACCAAGTCAAGTTCGAAACGAGGGCAATACAATAAAAAGATGACGGTCGAGCCTGTGCAGTGCCTCCTTTATACTTAATACAATTCGCAACTTTCCGCGTTGGTGATACCGCGGTGTGAGAATCGCGCTCTCTAGCTCCTGGATGGTGGTCTTCACAAAAAGAAGCTTGCCTTCACCTTCCTGACGTGAAAACATAATGTAAGGTTCTAATACTGCTCGTATATAGCAAAACTATAATTGCGTACGCGTCGCAGACCTAGCCTCGTACTGCCGTTCTACGACAATCATCCAGATGACAGCCATTTTGATATAAAGTCCCTTGACAAAGTTCAGGCTTGCAAGTACCGCCAACCATTGTTGTCGTAACGTGCAGGACACGTGCCACGAGCGGGTGCTCCGCCGCCATTCGCTTCCAAGGGCCGCTGTTTCGGCGCTGCGCCGCCATTTGCTTTAAGGGCGGCTGGAGAGTCGAGACCCGGGCCTCGTGCACTGGCGACCTTCTCTTGTCTTACCGAGATGCCGAGCCACTAAAGCGGGCGTTGACGAGTCTCCACAAGGGCTTATGGTGGCGAGAAGGACGCGGTAGAATCTAAAATGGCAATAATCTGTCCTGCCGTGGCAATGATGAAGTAGAGCGGACGGAATAAGAGGGAACAAAAACTGAAGGTCGGTTATGGCGGCGCCCATGCACAGCTGCTTGAAAGCGTTTATAGGGTGCCTACATGTCTGTCTGTCTCAGGGTGAAGACATATCCATTGTTGCCATGAATGTGCCAGCGCGTGACACTCTGGCGCACTTGGTGCGTGACTGGGCCGGTAAAATGGCGTCTATGCATTAGCCAAAGCTAGGCGCTCGAGCTGAGTGACACCGGATTGCGCGCACTTCAAAACGCATAAAAAAAATAAAAATAACGGTTGGGCGAAAAAATTGTTGAGATGTCATCACTCAAGCGAAAACGCGCGTGTGTATGAAGGCACCCTATTTTTATAGGCACTTGTGCGCCTCCTATAGGTCTTGAAAGTTGCGAATAGGGGAGGCACTGGCCTAGGGTGCCTCAATGCCCTTCTGTTAAGGATGTTGCCACCCTTTGTAGTACCCGATGCCGACAGCACGCGCTCACGGGTAAAATACAAAGAAATCAACGAAAACGAAATGTCGCCATAGCACAGTCAGCGCCAAAAACGCGTGCAGGTACACGCTCTTTCACGCGCTTCTGAACAAAAAATAAAAATAAAAGTGTGGGACAAAATGGCCAGATGTCTCCACCCTAAGCAAAGCGCACATGAAGGCACTCTACACTGGCCTGTCCTGGCTTGACACATGACCTCAATAACGCGTGTGATGCGCATGCACATCTCCTCGTGCACAAAAGAAGTTGAAGGACCGAAGCGCTGAGCGTTTTTTTTTTCTATGCAAGTCGCTGTAGCAATGCATCGAACACTTACCACCGCATTCATTGCGATTCTTTCATGCAATTCAATCTTTAGTCAAGGGGACGTCCCGAAGTACCTCAGCAAGCACCAACGACGCGAAGCCCTCGACGCCCTGCGTAGCTCTTTTTCGACCCTCGCACGCCTTGAAGCCGTCGGTCAGACGAACGGAAGCCATGTCTACGATTTCGTCATCTCCAACCACACCAGGCACCAGTTTCTCTGCCCGAAAGTACACGTCCTTGCCGACTTTCCGGCGGGACTGGAACTCCTGCTAATGTTAGCCTCTCACCTTCTTCGCGAGTACGGCCGCGACAAAAACATCACCGATCTTGTCTCCAGCACAGAAATTCACCTGCTATTCTACCCATCCGTGACAGTCGTCAGAGCGAAATCGAGCAAAGACTGCGCACAAGACGGGAAACCCAAAGAGTTGAATGGGTTCCCCGACTTCTTCGGCGAACGGGGAGTGAAGACCACGGAAGACTCGAAGCTTGACAACAAGGTTCGATTCCTTGCCGAGTGGCTGAGACGGGGCAATTTCGTTCTTGGAGCCCACATTCAGGGCGGCCTGAAAGACCTCATTGTGGCCTACGGCTTCCACAACAGCGCCGAGGACGGCCTGGTGACTCCAACGCCAGATGACGACGTTCTGCGTCACCTGTCCAAGAGGTACGCGAGTCGGCACCCCAAAATAAAGAAGGGGACACCGGAGTGCTCCGGTGGCCATCTGGGCGGATTTCCTGAGGGCATCACTCCAGCTGCTGCCTGGAAGAGACGACGGGGACTCATGGAGGACTACGCTTACGCGAAAGAAGGTGTTCTGGAGCTTGTCCTGGCTGTCTCCTGTTGCGCCGTTCCAGCAGAGACGCGGCTTCGGGAGCTCTGGGACGAGAACCGAGACGCCCTTCTTGCGTTTCTCAGCGAAGCTCGAAGGGGAATACGAGGTTATATAAAGGGCCCTGGTGGGGCCCACATCCCTGGAGCTCTGCTGACCATCGCAGGACGCAACGTGGCTTTCCGGTAAGCGTCAAAGGAGGGAAAGGAAAGGGAGAGGGTTGAAATTAATATATCAGAGGGCGCTTTGTTCTCTAAACTATAAATGACTCAATTTTAAATCTGTTTAGCTATGTAAACAATTATATTTCCAAAATTTAAACTAAAACAACAACAACAACAACAACAATGAACAGCAGGTGGCGTGACCGGGTCAGAGGAGTTGAGATTAGTATTTAGACCGCCTGGCAATTATCATAAAGCTCAACCAATAGCTCAGCTACCACCTGCACTTGTTTTGACTCATTCTTCCTCGGTTCACAGTGAAGCGAACATTTTGCGTCATATTTTTATAAATTTGTCGTACAATATATATTCCACTGAATTATGTTCGCGGGTTTGTAATAGTGGACTATGTATGGCATCGTTAATCAATAAACCAGTATACAAGATTAGAAGGACGAATATCTTAGTTATAAGTGTGAGGGTACGTTCTGCTCTTAGAAATACTAAAGTAACGGAAGAATAACGTCTGTTATTGGCCCAGAGAAATGAGCAGATGATGCCATGATAAACGGCTGGTGAGCGTGGCTGTAACTAAGGGCAAGGTGGAGCAGCTCCTGCTGCTGCGTTACGGTTTTGCACGACGCTTGGACGCTTTAGCTCTTGCTTAATGATTACGAACGTGGAACATCGTGCAGCTGCGCCAGAGCTAGACGATTGTACTTCTACCGACCTTCATTGCAGGATCGTTGCAAGTTGTAGTAACATAGGGTGGCAACCTGTCTACTGTATTAGGAAGTAACGACTAAAATATATTGCTGCTTTTTTCTTCTCCTTTTTTTTTTTGGTAACGTGAATACTATGGTTGCGGTTCAAACTTCCTAGAGAAGACCAGTATTTTGTCCTGGGCTTTTGTCAGAAACTACAGTTCTGACTCTGAACCACAAAATTCCGAGAGAATGACAACAGTTGAGCATTCAAACATTTCTATGACTGGCACATTGTATGATGTGGTAGTTTAGCGACAGCAACGAGCAGAATATACTGCAATAAGGCTTGATCCACTTAAAGGGGTAGGTACTCCGGCGTTTTCTTCATAGCCCCCGATTTGCCTGAAATTTTGAGAAACACACCAACAAACATCACTGAAGTAGTGCCCCAAATATAGGGCCAAAACAAAAGCAAAAATGGTGAAGTTGTTGAGTTTACACTTTTTATCGTCACAGTGTTTTTTAACGTGAAGGTCTTCCTGGACAACAATGAAAAGGAACATCAGCGGAAGGCAAAGGTTCACTCTTTAAACTGTAGAGTTTGTTCCCAACTGATTACAAGCGGTTTCATTGTGTCAAATGAATACTTTGGAAGCTCGCTTCAGCACCAGCACACCAGCACGAAACAAATGCTCGGCATAGTTCATTTCTAGACCACCCGCTCGACCTGGAAGCCTGTCTTCCCCTGACATCACGGCACTGTAAAGCGCGGGTATATTTGAATGTTGGTTTTGACATCATATTCACTTGTCGATTTCTCAACAACTATTCTGAATCTCGCGATACTAAATAGCATACCGAAAAGGGTAAAGACCGGTGATTCCGAAAATATCATTAGTTTGGGTAGTTAGAAAATCGCCGGGGTACTCCTTTAAAGTACGCAGCATTCTTACACTTATCTGTCAAAACGCTGGCAAAGCTAGAGCATCTGGAGTATTTATATATACGCATATTCCTGATGGCTTTATGTAAAAAATGGTTCCACACAAGTTTAATTTGTATAAGCCTGCCTCGACCTTGAAGCACGAAAAAGACAGATATTGTTACGCACAATATGAGACTTCGTTCAAGCAACTAATCCTTTCCCGGCTGTCGACTGTGGTTTGGAACAGGAGCGGGTACAAAACTGCATACTAACATTTCCTTTTATGACGATCTCGAGCTTTGCGTTTTAATATCTTAATGCACGCTTCACTAAAGCTATGTAGTCATAAACAAGTTAGAAATGCGCCAGAGGCTCCTTCCAGTTCCTCATTACCGCAGGCCAGTGTTCCCACGCAATGTTCAATAGTCCGCTACCGAGCTGCACGTCGCGCTGACGTTTGTGGGGATCGGTGCCTACTGCTTCCACGCAGGAAGGCCAAGACGAGTGCTTTCCCCTCGCGCGGCCTGGGTCGGGCCGACGTCTTTCCCTTCCGCAAGTCCACACGTCGCATAACTTGTCATGACTAGAGCCTTGTCTGGTTGGTCCGCCAAGCGCTTGGATGTCGTGTCTTGTACTAGGTGGTGTCGACTTGGAGCAGTCTCAAGGCCAGTTCACGCAGCACCGTTTCCTATCGTTGCGGAATAGTTACGAAAGCTTACGTCGGCTTACGTCAAAAGTCACCGAGACATCCCTCCTTCGTACGAAGCACACATGCCTTTGTGACTTTACTCTACTCCTTGAAGTCTACTCCCTGAGCCAGTTCAAAGAATAGACTTCAACAACCAGTTCAAGGGGTAAACTTCAAAGTCGTGTGCAAATCTACTTCTTGAACTAGTTCAAGGAGTAGACTTGCATGCGACATTCGAGGCTCGTGTGTAGGGGGGACTTATACATAACTTAAGAAAGCACAAGAAAGTACTCCTGTTTGAATGGGTCTTTAACTTGTATCCGACTATAGGGAGCGTGCGACACTTAAAGGGAGCGCGCCGGTCGAACTGATATTCCCACCAAGTAACTCTGCTGGGAGCAGCACCGCGGAGCAACTGTTTTGTCTCACACTTGCTATTATCACTCCGCAGCCAACCATATTGTGGTATTACTCATTATGATCGCCGCAGAACGAATCAGGCAGCGAGAAGCATGACAATAATAAGCCACGCCCTGCCGTTCTTACTTTGCCAGCGATAACGGCAGGGCTTATTGTGTTCATGCTTCTCGCTGCCAGATTCCTTCTTCAGCGTTCATAACGAGTAACGCTGCAATCTGATTGGCTGCCGAGTGGTACTGGGAGCCGTGCGACGGGAGCCGTATATAGAGAGAGTTTGGTCAATGGGAGGTGTCGGCGGGAGCAGGGGGGAAGCGGCCAAAGCGGCGGCGCCGCCAGCGCCGGATATTCCCCCCGTGATGATCTTGCAAAGTAAAGATAACCTTGATGACCTGTAAAAGACAAATACCGCGGCGCAGGTTTTTTTTTTTTTTCTAGAGCTCAGTTTTTAGGAGTTCGTTTCAGGGTTGAGCGGCGTCGCCGTCGGCGTAACCGCGTGACGTCACACGTGACGCCACCTGTGACGTCACGAGGGCCACGAATGACGTCACGAGGGTCACGAGTGACGTCACGACTGCAGTTAAAATGGTCACCAGTGACGTTACGAGGGTCACGTGTGACGTTGCGAGCGTCATGAGTGAATTCACAAAGGATTCCAGTGACGTCACGAGGGCCACGATTGACGTCGACAGTGTCATGAGTGACGTCACGAGGGTCACCAGCGACGTCACCAGGGTCACGACTGACGTCGCGAGTGTCACGTGTGACGTCACGAGCGTGACGAAGATCACGTGTGACGTCACGAGGGTCACTAGTGAAATCACCCTTGTGACGTCACACGGGTATACCCTCCGCTCCCCTCCTTCTCCTGAAGAGCTGCGCTCTATTTCGGCATTACAAAAAAATTGTAAGCGTCTTTCATTTTTTGTTTTGTTTGTTCGTTTGTTTCTGGACGAGGCTGAAAGTACATGAATGAATGTTTGTAAGAAAGGGCTAGAAACAGGGCGTTTCAAGGTGCTGAGTGCGTTCACTGATCCAGGAAGGGTGACGTTGACGATAAAGGTTTTCTGAAACATGAGGCGAAACTGCGAACGTGGGGTGCGCGTTCGGAATTCGGGTAAAATTCCCACGGAGCCGAGTACGCGGTTTTTACCGTCCACTCCGTTTTGGCCGCGGCTGCGACTGCGATCGAAAGAAAGATTGAGTGCTTTCTGAATGTCGCTGTGACAACATCACGTGCGTTGCCCTTTCAGTTACGAAGAGTCGCAAAGTCCACCTGTAGCGTGTTAAAAGAAAATACTTGATACATCCTTATTCAGAAATTGGTGACTGGAGGATAGAAGTTTAGCTCATTGCCTTCACTAGGGAAATATTTGAGGCTGGTAGTTAATCAAAACTGCTGTCAGTTAACGCGCTTAAGGTCATTGAAACTATTTTGGCCAATGACCTGCCGTTATATTCACCCTTCTTATCAATTAATGACCGAACTTTTTACATATACGGCCCTGCGTGCTACTAGAGTTCATGTATAGGCTCCCCAAGGGAGCCGGAGTTGCGCGCCTGTTTTCCACGTGCCGCCGCACCGCCATTTGCCGAGATCGATCGCTTGAAGAGCAAAGATCCTGCTCCGTGCGGAAAGTCGCTTCGCCAACGTTGCACGCGCCACGGCGTACGTTCGCCTGCTTTTGCCTTCTTCCCCTCCTCCTTTCCTGCTTTCCATGGGCGGGGGCGCGCGTGGCGCCGCTATTCGACGAGCTCAGTCACGTGACCAGCCGCAATCGACGGAGCACGACTCCTACTCGCGCGAGGAGTGGCTTTCCCATAAAACTTAAGATTCTATACTTGGTTTCATACTTAGTGTGCAACGCTGTCAAAGCTACTGGCGCGAGCATAGGGCTTGATCTCGTTGGTCATTTGCACGCGTTCTCGCGCAAACAGAATCATAGATGAAGCCACGCGCTCGCGCCACTAGCTTTGACAGCGTTGCACGCTAAGTATGAAACCGAGTATAAGATGGCTGAACACGCACAGGAACTGTACGTGCGACCAGAGCCATATAATTTGGCTCTGCGTGCGACAAGACAGTGGTGCCGCGGTGCGGCTCCCAGCAAAGTCATTTGGCGGGAACATCAGTTGAATCGCGCGCCCCCTTTAAAAAGATGCTACAAATTTCTGCGCGTATCTTTTGGTCTTTATGTGTTCAAAGGAGCAGTATCACATCGAACACACCAATATTTTGTTTAAAAATAATGAAAGCCGTTTACAACTCCCTGTAACGCCGAATTAGA